AGCCAATGGGCCTCATATTTGTTGACTTTTTATCTTCCTTTTGCAGAACTAGGGATGGGAGCCAGGGCCTTGAGCATACTGGATGAGCACTCCAAAGCTAAGTTACACCCATGCCATTTCTCTCTTTTCTTTGACTTTTTGTTATATTTTTATTATTTATTCATTTATTGTATTGTATGCCTGTGTGTGTGCGCGTGTGCGTGCCCGTGAGCATTCACGCATGTGTGTGTGTGTGTGTGTGTATACTTGTACCATGGCACTGGAGTACAGTGTCCTCTAACAGGACAACCCGGGAGTCTGCTCTCTCCTCCCACCAACTGGATCCTGGAAACTGAACTCGTACTTGGCAGCGAGCACCTTCACTCCTGGGCCATTTTGTTGACAAAAGCCTTTTAGACAGACTCTAGGTTGCCCAAACTGGCCTTTACCTCTCCATATGACCCAAACAGGCCTTGGAATTGTGAAGCTGGGGTTATAGGCTTGTGCCTTCAGGCCTGGCTATTTTTTACAATTTTATTAAAAGTTTTGGATATTTATTCAGACCTAAATATATCCTCCTCCTTCTCCTCACCTCTCTTTCACCTCCCAATGCACACACACCAGTTACAAGGTGGAGGGCTAAAATCAGCTTTTGCACGATTATGCCCACGACAAGGCCACCAGGTGTCTGGAGCGCTCACTGGTCTCCACACTGTTTCCACACCCTGGTATGCTTCATTAGCATTACCCCTTTCCAGCTCCTCCACCCCACGAGGACAGTATCTATAATGGAGATGGCAGTGTGTTCCCCAAGCTCTCAGTCATGGCTTTATTGGGGAACATAACTGGACTACATTTCCCAGCATCCTTTGCATTTAGGCGTGACCACATGTCTGAGCTCTGGCCAATAGACTTGGTCAGGAAGGGAAATGTCCCATCCCTCCCCTTTTATCCTGGAAATAAACATCCTTCCATGCTGTCCTCCACAATCTCTCCCTCCTATCCAGCTGTTGCAGAGAAGTCCCTAAGAATGGCACGGCCACAAGGAGCTAGACTTTGCTCCTCCCTCTGCCAGCTTATAGCTGTCTGTGACAGGAGCAATAGGTGTGCTTTTGTTTGGGGTGTGTCTTAGTTTCCTTTCCTGTTGCTGCAATAAAATACACTGACAGAGGGAATGTATGCCTGGTACTATAATCCTGGCCAAGAACCTGAAACTGGGAGTTTATAGGCCTCAGTGTGACACCTTCACTGTTCACCAAAATGGACAAAGCTTCTTGCAGAAGAGGACAGATAATGTGACTCATGACTGGTCAAGGTGCAGGGAGTACCTGGCCCTAAATATGACATCTAAAACACGCACACACACACACACACACACACACACACACACACACACGCTCACATGAATACACACAACATGAATGCTAGAAGGGGACTTGTTGGGAAGAAAGGTTTCACCAGGAAAATTTAGAGGGAGGGTAATGGGGTGAAAAGGATTAAAAGGCATAGTATACATATACAAAACTGACTAAGAATAAAAAGCCTAAAAATTCTCTCTGATAAAAGCAACTTAATGGAAGCTGAGTGTGGTGGCACACGCCTTTAATCCCAGCACTCAGGAGGCAGAGGCAGGCGGATCTCTGTGAGTTCGAGGCCAGCCTGGTCTCCAGAGTGAGTTCCAGGACAGCTAGGACTGTTCCACAGAGAAACCCTGTCTCAAAAAACAAAAAACAAAAAACAAACAAACAAAAACCAAAAACAAAAGCAACTTATGGAGAAAGGGTTTATTTTTGGCTCACCATTCACAGTCCAGTCCATCACGGTGGGAAAGTCGAGGCAGGCAGCGCTTAAAGCAATTGGCCCTGTTTCACCCACAATCGGGATACTGGGGGGGCGGCAGGGAAATGCAGCTAGTGTGCAAATTCATTGTCTCATTTTATAAGCCCAGGATCCCACGGAGGGAGGGATTCTATTCACAATGAAGTAGGTTTTCCCTCAATTAATATGGCCAAGATACTCCTCACAGGCGTGCCCAGAGATTGACATGAACACTAACCATTATGGGGTTATTTGTTATAGTCATTGCCACTAGCAAAGCCTCTTCACTGGCTCTATCCAGGGAAGGCTCTTTATTGTAGAAGGACCCCATTTTAGGCTCCCTGAAAGCTAGCAGGTTATTCTGCCTTCATCCTGGAAATGTGAAGCCAGAGGCTCCATCTCCACCCCTGGCCTTCACTAACCACCAGCCTCTTCTCCAAGTCTCATAGCTGGGCTTCACCCCTTTTCCTCAACCCACACTCCAGCTTCTCACACTGCTGTGTGCCAATAGTTCCTAGCTGTCTTTGGCCATCCTGTCATCTCTCATTTATTTGGTTGCTGTCTGAGACTGGCATTTGGGGTCAGAGATATGACTGTTGTTTCCTTCCTGACAAGTGACTGCCAATCTGGGGCTGGCTCTCTCCTGAGTACTCCTGCCCTGCCGTTGGAGGTGTCTCGGGACTGCTCTGAGTGGCCAGCCTTTGAAATCCTATAGTGTGGAAGCTCTAACAGGGCTGTTCCCACGACCCTGTTTTCCTGGGACACCTGGATCCCAGTGGGAAAGGCTGGCCTCTGCCTTTCCCTTCCAGGAGCTGCAGGAGGCTCCAGGAACCTGGAGGCCAGGAATGGAGGAGGCCTGCCTAGCTCTGTACCCTGCTTGACAGCTGGGAACAGAACCTGGGGGGGGCGCGGGGCTGGCCAATTACTTGAAGTGTAAATTTCTGTTTTGCAAAGTGAGCACCTGACTTCAGAGAGTGGAGGTGGCACGGGGGACTTGCTGAGGCCCTGAAAGGCTTGAGGTGTCAGTTCAGGGTCCCAGAGATGGCAAGCAGTGGCTGTGGGCGGGTGAGCACTCCTGAGGATGGAGGCCTATCTCTCTGCCCATTGCACTGACAGGCGTGGGAACTCTTGCTAGCATCCCCTCCCAGAGAAGACTACTCTTGCTTTGAAGCATGTTCTTATATAGCAAATCTACTAAGTAACCAAGGGTGACCTCTGCCTTGAACTACTGATCGTCCTGCCTCCACCTCCCAGGTGCCTGGGTTCCAGGTGTGTGTCACCATGCCTGGTTTATTTGGTGCCATGGATCAACCCCAGGCCTCGGGCATGTTGGACAAGCACTCTACCAGCTGAGCTGAACCCCCCAGGACCCTCTCCCCCTGGAAATGACTAATTGGCTTCCAATCTGCCTGTTCCCATCCCCCTAGCCCACGGTTATCTTCCTAGTAATAACTTTAACAGCAGCAATTCTACTAGCTATGTGTGCACAGCCCACTCAAAGCCAGTCACACCCTAGACTTCATTGACCCCCTTCCCACTGGCCCCAGAAAGAGGTACTCCATGGCCCCATTCTATGGATGGGCATGTTGAGGTCCTCTGAGCCTACCCCAAGAACAGCAGTAAAGGCCTGGCTTCCCTATTCGGCAGCAAGGTGCACAGAGTTGCTAGGGAGGGGCAGGAAGGCTGGCTCTTCCAAGAGCTCATGGGCTGTCTGCTCTCCTCTCCTTCTGTGGGCCCCTGACTTCCACAGCACCCCAACCTGCTGCTTGCTTGTCCACCTCTGGTTCCTAGCACAGAAGGTAGCGACAGCTTGGACTGCTGCAGGCTCGGCTGTGCTGAGTTTCTCCAGTCCCTATCGGGATCCCTGCTTCTCCAGGCTGTGTGCTCACTTTGCAAAACAGCAGAATTTATAGCCCAAGTAATTGATCAGGGTGCTCCTGCCTCCCTCCATCTCGCTGGGTCTCCTAATTCCCTTCTTGCTTTTCCTCCGCTTTCTTCTCAGCACACCATCTGTGGTGTCAGGGAATAGGAAGCCAAAAAGGGAGGGGAGGGTTCTAGCCCCAGTTCTGCCAATTAAGAGTCAAATGAACCTCAGTTTCCCCATCCACCAAACGGAGGACCATGACACTACTCAAAGAGTGTTAGGCCCAGGTGCTGGAGCCAAGGGTGACCATTTACTCCCTAGAGTCACTCCAAGAGCTGAGGGTGGGACTGAGACCCACTTTCTGGATGGGGGCATTGTGACTTTGAGAGCTTGTACTAGTTTAGGGCTACAGAGCTGGTAAACAGTGACTTCGGGCTTAAATCCAGGCTTCTGTGCCTGGGATCCTAAACCCAGAAGCTAGACTGCCCTTCTAGAAACAGAAATAATGGAATCACCCCGTCGGGCCTGACCCTACTTCTCTCCACCTTGTGACCAACCATGGGCATAGGGCAGAGTGTGCAGGCACAAGGGGAATTTTTATAAACTGTTCAGTGCTGCCGCATGGAAAGAAAAGTCCTAGTAATTTCTATCCCTCAGCGCTGGCCTCTCCAAAGCCTGCTGTATGAACAGGAGCTTTCAGGGAGGCCAGTAGAGCCTTCTAGAGTGATCCATAAGAGGACTCCAGGGGGCACACCACTGACCCTTCCCAAGGCAGGCGAGGCACCAACCTGGGAGGTCCAGTGTGCCTGGCCTGGCCTGGCCCTGCAGACATGGACTGGGAGCCCCTCCTCAGCCCTCGGGCTGGTGGTAACCTCTGAGCACCTTTCTGCTCAGTTGGTGGGAGTGATTGCTTTCTAGAGGTCACTGGCTTGTGTAACCCCCTCCACTCTCGGTCTAGCTCTGCCCTTCTGTCCGTTTGTCTTTTCCTTTCTCCCAGCACCTGGGCGCCACCGATAGGATTCGTTTCCCTTCCATGCTACAACCTCCCCAGGTCAAGGCCAGCTTCTCTCCCTCAGCTGCGCATCCGTGGGGGCCTCTGCCCAGTGCAGCAGCCGAACCTCCTCCTGGCCGGACTCTACTGGGGATAGAGGCCTTTTTTTTGTACCCGCTTTGGGGCAGGGATGGAGGCTCCCTCCTCGATGGCCGCCTGCTCGCGCTTTGCTGAAGGAGAGATGAGAGCAGGCTGCAGGACTGCAGGCAGCGGCTTGCAGAACAAACAGAATTTTTTTTTGCAACTAGAGGGGGAAGCACAGAGCTAAAAATAAAACGAAAAGATCAGTATCTGTCAGTCTGACAGCTGATTGGCTGCTCGGAGATGCATATAATTACCAGCAACTGGCGCTGGGTAGGCAAAGCCCGGAGAAACTGCTGAGATGAGGTTAGGATTTAACCTTTAAATTCTGGAGCCACCGGAAAGCTAGGGGAGACGACGGGCGTCGGTGCTAATGAGGCTGGGGGGCGGGGGCCGGGGGCACCGAGTCGGGTTCAGGTCCGCGGGCTCGCCCGGAGGCCCGAGGAACCCTCAGTCCGCGCCTCCGCCATCAGACTGGGAGTGCCTCTGATTGGGCGGCTCGGGGGCGGTGGGCCTTCTCCCCGCCCAGCTGGGGGTGATGTCTTCCGGGAAGTTGGGGGTCGCTCTTGGGAGGGAGGGGGAACTACCCGGGGCTCTGGGGGGTCCCAGGACCCTGTCCCCACCCACATTCCTTTATCTCTCTGTGTAGTACTAGTAGGGTTTTGTTTTGTTTTCGCTGCCCCCTCTTCAGCTCCCCCCCCCACTCCCACCCCAGTCTTCTTCCTGCCCTGGCCAGGGCACACTCAGGCTGGTCCCAGGTTTCCCTAGAGATAAGCCAGAGAGGTGTTGCTGTCCTCCCTAAGCCTCAGTTTCTTCATATGTAAAATGGGATGGCAATGGTAAAACCTGCCCGATGTCTCACAGGTGCCAGGCAATTTTGCACCCAATGACTACCCAACCCAATCCAGGGACCAAAAGACTTTGGTCTCCCCATGTGTGAGCTAGAAGTAGGGTCCTGCCATGCCCCTAGGGTAACCTTGGGGACCCAGTGAGCACCTGCATTTCTTAGGATGGTGGGTGGAGCTCCCAGCAGCTCCTGGTACCTTCTCTTTTCCCTGCCTCTCCTCTAAGCATCTTCACTGAAGGTGAAGCCCCAGCCATCCCCTGTTGCAGCCTCTGGGTTTCTGACTCACAGACTGTGGGCCTGAGGAGGGCAGGAACTGCAAAGTCAGCCATTTGGCCCCTCAAAAGGAAACTTCAGATTCCTTGCTCTGTGGACTAAGAGGCCAGGCAGAGGCAGAGGTCTCAGGCAGCCACAGAACTGAGGCAGGCAGCGGCCGCAGGGGATAGGCACCCCTCTATTCTCGGTACTCCTAGGGCCACTGCTTCTCGGACAACACCTAGGAGATGCCACCCTTGGACTGGGAATAGGCAAAGTGTCTGGGATGAGGGAGGAAGGAGTAGCTCACACGTGGCCTGGCTGTGAGCATCCCACAAGGATCCCTGCAGTGCCCACAGCAGGCCCTAGAAACTTGCTACTGTTGGCATTCTCCAGATGAGGGAACTGAGGCATGGAGCTGAGCAAGGAGAGTGAGTTCTGAGACTGGCAGCAGCCCAGGCCTTGTCTCCCTTGGTGATCTCTGCAGGCCCTGGCTGTGTGATGAAGATGAAAGGGAGGCAGGGGGATGCGGAAGGTTCTGGAACAGCTGCCCTGAGACCTACCAGGCCTAGTGAACCAGGGGGTCGTGATTTAAACAGTTTCTCAGTGATTTCCAGTGTCATAAGTTATGACACAGTCCTGTAACTGCCCCGACCCCACAGTCCTTTTTATTTCTTACTGTAATGAGGACCTCAACAGTGGTGACAGTGGCAGCTCCCGACTGGGCATCTGGGCACCCAGTGCTGGCCTCAGCTTTGGCCCAAAAAGTCATCCTGAGCTGTTGTCGCCAGCCTCAGAGACCACCCTCACCCTTGTGTTACTCACCAGCACTCCCCGTCAGACCCAGCCGGGCTGGCCAAGGAAGTTTCCTTCAGATGAGAAAGCTAAGTAAGGGACCAGGAGGTAACTCAGCTTGCCAGGAGGCAGCCCTGGACTTGTTCATCTGGAGAACCCAGCTTGTGACAGCTGTGTGACACAGCTGCTTGGGACCACTCCTCCCATTTGACAGGTGCCCACTGTACTTTCCCTTCCTGAGCCTTCTCACCCCGAGCCCACCCCAATGGTTTCCTTGCTTACCTGGAAATTGGGTGGAAGTTGACCGCATATGTACATGGTACATGTATGTGTGTGTGACTGTGTGGGTGTGTGCACATGTGTTTGAGGGTGCATGTATGTTTACACAGAGACTAGAGGCGCCTGCCTCACTTGCTCTCTGCCTTGTCTTTGCAGACAGGGACTCTCAACTGATTGGCTCAGGGGATCTACCTGGCTGTCGCCTCCACAGCACTAGAGTTACTAGAGGAAGCTCTGCCTCTCCTGGCTTCTCTATGGGTAGGGGATCCAAACTCGGGCCTTCATGGTTGAACAGCAAACGCTTTGCCCACTGAGCCATCTCCCCAGCTCTGCCTTTCTTGTGTGACCCGATTTAATTTCTATCTTTGTCACCATGATTCCCATTTACAGAAACGTTGGCAGTGTGTGTGGCCTTGCTATGACTACTGGCTAGGGTCACTCACACATACAGGCTGTTGGTGTGGCTTGTCTCTGAAGGGTCTCCAGTCCTGGGGTGGGTGATAGCTGGAGACTGTGATAGCTGGAGGCCATGGGGCGACCTTGGAGCCTCACGTCACCTCTTAGAGTGCCGGCTTCCTGCTTTCCAGCATGGAGACAGGCAGACGAGAGCTCAGTTGCATTAGCTAGCTCCTGAAGAGTGTCTCCCTGGCTGCCTGGTTTATAAGAACCACGCTGGTATCAAAGCAGCTGGGACTGGTGAAGGTTCTGACTAAGGTGTTAGGTTTGTCATGGAAGAACCTCACAGGTGCATGCGCAAGCTAGGACAGCTATGCCCTGACCGGCAAGACAGAGGTGTGAGATAGGCCTCTGCGTGATATCAGTTGTGATAAACACCCTTAACGTGGCGGCCTTTCTCCCAGGGAGCAGCCCTCCTCGGCTGGAGCTGTTGCAGGTTGTCCTTCATCCTAGCAAATGTATGACTAGCCGGCAGGGCTGTTGGAGGTGGCCTGTGTGGGTCTGGCTTCAGGGGTTCCAGGCAGGGGCAGGATGGGCGCCGTGGCGGTCATTGCCCTCCTGTCTCTCTGGCCCAGTGCTGTGCTGCCCACTGTAGTCTTGCTTGGGAAGAAGAGTTCTGAAGATGGATGTCGGTCTCTAAGGCAGTCGAGGTTACCTCTTGACGTGGTCCTTGTCCTTCTGCTTTTCAGAAGATGTGGCTGTACAGCTGTGGTGGTGGTGTGGTAGTGTTGTGATGGTGGTGTGGTTGTTGTGGTGATGGTGTGGTTGTTGTGGTGATAGTGGTGTGGTTGTTGTGGTGATAGTGGTGTGGTTGTTGTGGTGATAGTGGTGTGGTTGTTGTGGTGATAGTGGTGTGGTTGTTGTGGTGATAGTGGTGTGGTTGTTGTGGTGATAGTGGTGTGGTTGTTGTGGTGATAGTGGTGTGGTTGTTGTGGTGATAGTGGTGTGGTTGTTGTGGTGATAGTGGTGTGGTTGTTGTGGTGATAGTGGTGTGGTTGTTGTGGTGATAGTGGTGTGGTTGTTGTGGTGATAGTGGTGTGGTTGTTGTGGTGATAGTGGTGTGGTTGTTGTGGTGATAGTGGTGTGGTTGTTGTGGTGATAGTGGTGTGGTTGTTGTGGTGATAGTGGTGTGGTTGTTGTGGTGATAGTGGTGTGGTTGTTGTGGTGATAGTGGTGTGGTTGTTGTGGTGATAGTGGTGTGGTTGTTGTGGTGATAGTGGTGTGGTTGTTGTGGTGATGATGGTGTTGTTGTTGTGGTGATGGTGTGGTTGTTGTGGTGATGGTGTGGCTGGTGGGGGGGTGGGGGGGGGGGGGGGGGGGGGGGGGGGGGGGGGGGGGGGGGGGGGGGGGGGGGGGGGGGGGGGGGGGGGGGGGGGGGGGGGGGGGGGGGGGGGGGGGGGGGGGGGGGGGGGGGGGGGGGGGGGGGGGGGGGGGGGGGGGGGGGGGGGGGGGGGGGGGGGGGGGGGGGGGGGGGGGGGGGGGGGGGGGGGGGGGGGGGGGGGGGGGGGGGGGGGTGGTTGTTGTGGTGATGGTGTGGTTGTGCTGTGATGGTGGTGGTGATGGTGTGTTTTGAGACAGAGTTTCACCGTGTAGTCCAGCCTGGTCTTGAACTCCTCACCCCGTCTTGTCTTCCCCAGTGTTAGATAATCGGCCTGTGTCATTAAGTCTGACTCAAAAGTTTTTCTCAAAATCCTTTCTGACCCCTTGCTTGATGCCTAGCGTGTCCCTGGCCCTGAAAAGGCCAGACAAGGTGACCCACATTGAGGGCGTGTGTAGGTGCGGTCTCGGTTATTTTTCTGTTGCCGTGATAAAGCACCCTGACGAAAGCCACTTAAGGAAGGAGTGTTTACTTTGCCTGTCCCCACAGCGTGTTAGCGAATCCAGACCGCAGCAGCCACATCCATCCACAGTCAGGAAGCAGAGAGCCGGGGATTCGTAGCGTGTCTTATCTCCCTTACTCCACTTCATACAGTCCGGGGTCCCAACCAAGGAATGGGGATACCCACAGCGCGTCGCTCTTCCCACTCCATCCCCCACAAGTCTCCTGCGTGGCTCTAGAGTCTGCCAAATTGACAGTTGATGCTAACCACCACATAAGCCTGACCTGCCTGCCCAGTTTGTCCTCATGGTGTCCCTGGGGAGTGTGGCGATGGGGACTCCTCTGTGTCCCAGGCTGGGAGGAGCAGCACTAATGATCCCTGATGTGAGGTCCTGGGGCTGCTGGGCCTCACTTCCTGCCCTGGTTCAGAGTAGAGTCCTGAGCTTGGCAGGGAGGCAGCACTGGCGTTCGAGTCCCAGCCTCTGGCACTAGGCAAGGTTTTGGGGACAAACTGGGCATGCCTCTGTCCTGGAAGAGGTATTTCCTGGGAGTAGACTCATCAAGGAGGGGACTCGTGAAGGTGATGGGATCAAGAGTGGGGCAGAATGTGGCACACAGTGGGAAGTCACGAAGCAGCTGCTCTGAGACCCTGTTTGTAAACAGTCCCCTGGCTGGAGCGATGGCTCAGCAGCTGAGAGACTTCACTGCTCTCAGGTTTCTGATTCAGTCTCCAGCACCCCCCTGTAAATGACAGAGGATCTGGCACCCTCTGGCTTCCACAGGCACCTGCATGCCTGTGGGGCACATAAACTCATGGGACCTCACACATAAACACAAAAAGTAAAAAGTAAATTTGGACTGGCAGCGGTGGTGCAGGCCTATAACCCCAGCACTTGGGAGGCAGAGGCAAGCAGACCTCTATGAGTTCAAGGCCAGCCTGGTCTACAGAGTGAGTTCCAGGACAGCCAGGGTTACTTAGTGAGACCTTGTCTTTAACAAAAAAGTCCCATCTGGCACATCAGTGTTTCTTAGGTCCTTTGTTATAGCAGATGGACGACCTGTCAATTATCCCCAAAGTGGATTCAAAGGGTCCAGTTCGCTCACCTTCTTGTGGTCCCTGGACCAGGATCTCTTCCTACTGGCACATGAGAATCTGTGTGTGTGTGATGTTAGTGTGTGTGTTTGTGTGTATATGTGTGTGTGTGTGTGTGTGTGTGTACCTGTGTATGCATGCATAAGGAGGTTAAGTATGTGTGTGTGTGTGTGTGTGTACCTGTGTATGCATGCATAAGGAGGTTAAAGGTCTGCACTGGGTATCTTCCTCAATCAGTCTTCACCTACAGTGTGTCTCTGTGTGTATGTATTTGTGTTTAGGCCTGGCTGGCCTGGAACTCACAGAGATCCCCCTGCTTCTGCCTCCAGAGAGCTGGGATTAAAGGTGTGCGCCACCATGCCTAGCCTCTACTTTACTTTTTGAAATGTGGTCTCTCACTGAACTTGGAGTCACCAACTAGCCAGACTGTCTGGCCAGCCAACCCAGTATCCTCCTGCCTCAGCCTTCCCAGAGCTGAGATCATAGATATGATCTCAGCTGCCAAGCTTGAATTTTTTTTTAATGTAGGTCCAAGGGATTCCACTGGGTTCTTCAGGCTGTGTGGCAGCACACACTGAACCTCTCACCAGCCAGTATCCCTGCCTCCCGAGTGCTGGGATTAAAGGTGTGTGCCACCACCCAACCTGAGAACCATTCTTAAGAAGCTGCTGTGCCCTTCTTCCCAGTGGCTTCTGGGACGCTCTGTTTGGAATGGAGAAGAGATATCCTCAGGATCATGGGCTCTGGGGACCTCTGACATAGGTGGAGGAGATACACTAGGTAGAAAACTGGGGAAGAGGAGAATTGTCTGTCACTGGCAGATACCCCATGTCCAACATACTTCTGAGCACACTTATGACCTCTGAACCTTTCTGGTAGGTGCATCCAAGGCTTGGAACCCCCTATGTTGTGAGGTGAGGTTGGGGAGGGAGGTGTTGGTCTTCTCTGTAACCAGTGTGATGTTCCCTGACTGTCTGATTCCCATCTTGTGCCATGTGTGCCTAAGTTGGGCCTGCTAGCCTCCCCTGCCAAGAGGATTGACATGGTACAGAGTATGAGCAAGGGTCGGTCCAGACCCAAGGTCTTCGTGCAGATCTATCCCTTCCTGTCCCTTCCAGTGAGCTGTGACCATCATCCCTGCCCTCTCCAACTTCTTAGCTGCCCCCTGGTTGGTGGGGTGAGGTAGGTGTGGGGACTCCCACCCCGCCCTGCACCCCACACCTGGGCAAGTGCTTTGCCACTGAGCGCCACCAACCCAGCTCATCTGAAAAGCCGGAGAGGCCGGTGCTGAAGCTGCTGAGAGACATCACAGGCAGTGGCCTCAAAAGGGCTGTCTATCTCCTCCTGCTTCTCCTCCTCCCGCTCTTCCTCTTCTTCCCCTTCCTCCTCCTCCTCCTGCTCCTTTGGGCAGGGTCTCTGTAACCCCGCCCCTGGCTCACAGTGTAGCTGAGACTGACCTTGAGCTCCTGATCCTCTTGCCGCCACCTCCCAAGTGCAGAGAGTTCCCACGCCCAGGTAGGGCAGCAGGTCTTTACGCTGTCAGTACTGTTACAATGCCTCTAATTTGGGTCTCTCCCCTTCCCACCCTGTCTTACCATGACCCTGTACTGTTACACTGCCTCTAATTTGGGTCTCTCCCCTTCCCACCCTGTCTTACCATGACCCTTCTATGGCTTTCTATGGTGAGTGAAGGAGGCAGAGAAAAAGCAGAGGCATGGGATGGGCTTTCAGGAAATGTAGCCAGGTGCCCCTGTGAGAGGCTACACCAGCACAGAGAACCTAGGAGGGGAGAGGGGGTTTCCGTGCATCAGGATGAGGGGCTCCTTGAGCCAGCCTTTCCAGGGCTCAGCCCAGCTCTCTCCAACCTTTTATGTGCCTCAGATAAGCTGGGGATCTTGCCCAGACTCTGCAACAGCTGGCCTGCATAGGGTTGTAGGGTTGGATGGGAGACTCGGGTTCAATATTTGCAGACTCCTCACCTCACTCCTGCTGTTGCTCCAAGCTCACAGGGGAGATGTGGCCAACTTTTGGGGTCTGCAAGTGAAGGCTCTGGGGCTGGAGAACCCTTCGATGCTATGTGAGGAAGAACAGAGCTACTCCAGGGGGGAATTATGCCTGTACCAGAAAAGAAAGATCTCTGCCTTCTAGTGTGCACACAGAGCTCCGTTCCCACCCCCACAAGGCCCCAGGGACCCGAAAGAATGTGGTTTGCTGAGCACTGCCTTGCCTCCCTGAAGGGGGTGGATTCAGCCTGAAAAAGTTGTGTGTGAAATGAATTTTTCTATATCCAATGCCATTTTCCAGTGGGTCGTGTTTTAAGACCACGGTTGTATTTCCTCAGAGAAATGTCCCTCTGTGTTTTGGGAGCAGCTAGCTTGCACAGGGATAGGGACCCCTGTCAAAGGAGCATGGTGGGGTACCCGGAAACACCCTTCTCTCCAAGGGTGCACAGAGTCAAGGCAAGACCTCAGGAGATCATGTGACACTTTGGTCCTGTGTCCCAAAGGATTCTGATGGCAGAATCCCAGAGTTTCTGAGAAATGCAGGGTTAGAACAGCTCCCATGGCCAGAAGGGTCTGCTCAAACAAGCCAGAGCCCTAGGAATCTTGACCAGGAAGCAGGCCATGGTCTGCCTGCATTCACTAAGAGTAGTTTCCAAAGCATGTCCTTGGGTCAGTATGCCTGGGAATGAATTTTGGGAGGCCTATGGATGATAGTTCTCTCTGTTTTTGTATTAGTCACCGACCATTGCATAACAAGTGGCCCCACACTTAAAACAACAAGCACGTTTTATCTCAGTTTCAGTAGATAAATAGTAGTGCAGGATTGAGTTTCCTTCCAAGATGGCAGCTGATTTCCACCAGATTGAGCAGTGTAAAAAAACCTTTATGGCCATGCCTTGGACAGCACATCAGTCGTTTCCTCACACTGTATTGGTTCCCAACCAGCCCTACTCATTGTGGAAGGGGACAATACAGCCTGTAAATGCCTGAAGGCAGGAATCGTTTGGAGACCATCTTGGAGGTTGGTGACCATGGCAACCATCACTTCTGCACAAAGAGAGGTATCTTTCCTGGCACACATTGTTGGTTTCTTACCATTTAGTGGACATGAGCAGCTTGAGTGTTAACCTGGTATGTGAAGGAAATGGAAGAAGTGGGAATTTATCAGCCACACTGAACTCAGGGGAATGACAGTGGTGACAATTACAGAGCTCCATCTCTCAAGCCATACTCTGCCAAGTCATGGGTGCTGTGATACCAGGCAACCATCACCCCTAGGCAGGCTGTTCCACCCACATGCCCAGGTTAGACCATTCACTTGTAAGCAGTGTATGAGGTGAGGGGTGTGTGTGTGTGTGTGTGTGTGTGTGTGTGTGTGTGTGTGTGTGTGTTCCCCCACAGCTACAGTCACAATAGGATCTTGGGAGAGGACTGGAGCAGAAGTTTAGGATAGACCTAAGCTAGAGTGATAAACAAATAATATAGATTGTGCCAGGCAGTGGCGTCACACATCTTTAATCTCAGTACTGGGGAGGCAGAGGCAAATGGATCTCTGAGTTCGAGGTTAGCCTGGTCTACAGAGTGAGCTTCAGGACAGCTAGGGCTACACAGAGAAACTCTGTCTCAAAACAAAACGAACCAAAACAAAAAAGATGTGGGGATGTGAGATGTATAAACAGGGTGAGGAGTTGGGGCACCCACTGTCAATCCAGAGTCTGCTTGCTGTGACAAAGGGCCACACAGGCAGGGGCAGGGCAGGCCCCTGGCCAGGAGGCCTAGTGGTAAATGAGTGTGTCTCTGGGTACCCACCACAGCCATACCCTAGGGTAAGCCTCACTGATTATTAGCTGTGTGTCTCAGGCTTCCCATCTATGAAATGGGTGACACTGATGTCACTCTCTTCCCCCATTGTGATTCGGTTTCAGAGATAGGATCTGGGCACGGCCCAAGGACTCAGGTTTGCTTCACTAGGACAACCAGGGCACTGATTTGGTGACACTCCGAGTTTGAGGAATCCATATAGAAATTCTAGTGACTAGAAGGGTTCATTCAGTCCATGAGCCTTCTAAAGGACCCTGGGGAAAGAATTCAGTCCACCTTGTGCTGGAGACATGTACAGGTCTGATGACTCCTCTGCCAGTCTGGGCACAGAGTAACTCTCCTCTGGGGATGCATCCCAGGCGTTTTCCCCTGAAGGCTCCACACACAGACTTCACACTGGCCTACGTTTGCTCTCCCAACCCAGACAAGGGAGGAGACAGCACTGACCATAGACACTGGGTCCTGTAGCCTGGACTGGACCACAAGGACATTTGGAAACAGCAGAAGGACCTGGAGGGAAGGGCCAAAGGTACTTACTTGTTTTTTTTTTTTTTTTTTTTTTTTTTTTTTTTTTTTTTTTTTTTTTTTGCTTGTTAGGACATTTGGAAACAGCAGAAGGACCTGGAGGGAAGGGCCAAAGGTACTTACTTGTTTTTTGTTTTTTTTTTTTTTTTCAGGCCTATTTGGGAGTTGTGTGACTCTGGGAAAGTGTCTTAGTCTCTCTGGGCCTCAGTTTTCACATACACAGAACCACAGATTGAATTTGCGTTTTGCTTCTCCATCTGTCCTGAGAAGTCTGGGCTAGCCAGGGGAACCCAGAGACCTCATGGTTGTGCATGAAGTGGGGCCAGTGACTTCCTCCTCTCATCCCATCAGAAAAACTCTCTGTGGTACACTGACAAGCTGAGTGCTGCCACACTTTCATCAAAAAGAAGGAATTTAAAGGCTGGGAGTGTGGCTTAGCTGATACAATGCTAAGTATAGACAAAGCCATGAGTTCGATTCTCCAGTACTGCATAAATCAGATGTGGTGACACACATCTGTCATCCCAGTTCTGGGTAACAGGTGGAGGCAGGAGATCCAGTTATGCAGTGAGTCTGAAGCCATCCTTTCTCAAAGGAATGGGTGGGGGGTGGGGTGGGAGAGCTCTCTGTGGTAAACACATTGCAATCTAGAGCTTCCCACCATCTCTCCTCTCTAGCTCGTTTCTTCATGTTTTAGGAAATGAAAGGGACACACACGCACACAGCACGTGCACCAGAAAGCTGCGTGGGTTAGCTGCCCTTTGGTTAGCAGCCCTTTCCAAGTGGCTCCTGGGTTTCTAGGCCTTGAATCTGCCTCTCTAGGGGACCTGAGGCCCAGGACAGAAAGAGAAGCCAGGGACTGGGTAGGGTTGGTGAGTTGGTGGCCGGAGTGTGTGTGTGCCTGGGGGGTGGGGGGCAGTGGATCCCCGTTCCTGTGGCTACTAACACTGAGCCTGTTTGGCATTCTAGCTTCCTCCCTGGGAGGCCTGCCCCTTGGTGGGGGCCTAGGCCAGCTGCTTGATATCAGCTTCCTTCAAAACTCCTGGAGGCTATGAGGTCTCTCTCAGCACTCTCAGGCTCCCTAACAACAACGTTCTGTCTCCTTGGGGCATTCTGGGGGCTCCAGGTGTATACAGGTGTGCTGACTTTTCCCAGAGGACTAGCCAGTCTGGAGCTGGGGTGGGGCGCTGCACTGGCTACAGGAGAGTCTATGCCAGGATGTGTGTGGGCTGTATCCTGTTGGTGGCACTTTGGTGTGTTCAGGTGTGCTGGACCAAGTGTATTGATTTGTTCATGAATCCCCTCAACTAGGTGGTTGTTTTGTGTGTATTTATGCACACATGTGGAAGCCAAAGGCCAGCCTGGTCCTCAGACCTTTTCTACCTCCTTTGAGAAGGGTTCTCTCCCTGGGACCTGAAGATAACTAATTAGGCTAGATAGGCAGGTCAGGGAACCCCAGGGATTCCCCCAGGGATCCTTCTGCCTCTCCCCTACTCCAGCACTAGAATTACAGGCTACCAGGCATGGGTTTCTGATGAAGGTGTTAGGGATCGGATCCAACTCAGGTCCTCTCACAGTGTGGCAAAGGCTTTTCTGACTGAGCCTCTCCTAGGCCCTGAGTTATTTACTGGAGAAACTAGACCATGTCAAGTTTCCTCTCCAGAGGATTGTCCCTTGCGGTGTGCTCTCCACTTGCGGGATCCCCACAGAAAGTGTCTGCCCAAAGCTCCCTAATCTGATCACTTCCAGGGACAAGGAAGCCCTTGGGTACTTAGTGGGAGCCCCTTCCCCCGATTCAGGCAGAACACTAATTGGGAAAGTTCAATGAGTCCCCAAGCACCTCCACCCCACACCCTAGGGCCTTGGCCTGGTCCAGGGGGAGCTCTGGAAACTTCTGAGTGAGTTTCTGATAGACAGATTGACGACTTGTTGATCCAGACCAATCACCTGACCAGGTCACCGGAGCCTGGAAAGTCTCTGGCAATCAAGACTTCCCTCCCTGGGGTGGTGGGCTCCAGCAGCTGGAAGCTAAGGGGTTAAGAGTTTCTGGCGGCCGCCTGCTGTCTGCAGTAGTTTCCCCCTTCCCAGCTGCTGCTGCAGGGGTTGGTTGGCGAGGAATGTTTGTTATGCGGGCCGGAGGGAGGGAGGACTGGGGGGGGCAGTAGAGTGGGGCCTGCAGGCCCTACGGCCAGGCTCCCCCAGGTTGAGCAATCGCCTCCAGGGTCCAGTAACTTCGACCCCCCTCACCCATCCCCCACCAGCCCTCCTCATCGCCTCCACCTCTGGCTTTTGAGGGAGGTAGAGAGACTGAGACTCCAGTGCTTGCCTCCTAGGGAGGCAGAGAAGCAGGCCAACCACCCCAAGCCGAGTAGGCATAGCCCAACCTATATCTTGGGGGCCACAGCCCTCGGGGGGGGGAGCAGACTTGTTGGTTCCTTTGGCTCCAGGCTGCAACCCACACAGGACTGCAGAAGTCGCTGCCAGGTTGCTCAGAGCCGCAACAGGATAATCCCACTCTAACCCCAGGGTCTCTGGAGCAGGGGGGCTCCCACTGGGACAAGCATCCCGACCTGGCTCTGCAGGTACGGAGAAACGCCAGCCACCCTGTGCAAGGGGGGCCAGTTGGGCTAACTTGGGAAACTTCCTTTTCTCCTCCCCTCCTTCTACTTTGCTAGTTACCAAATAGTCACCCACAGGCCAATGAGCTCCAGGCCCATTTCTCTCTCCTAATTGCATGGCATTTCTGGTGGGAGAGTTGCCTCCTACACACCGGGGAAGAGGCTGCCCCCTCAGCCAATAGCCCAGCTCCATCTCTACCACCTTGATGCTCAGTGGCCTTGGCACCTCCAGCCCACTCCAAGTTTCCTCATCCGCACAGTGGACTTCAGAGGGCTGGGGGCTGGCATGGCCACTTGTCTCTCCCAGGGAGTGGGGATCTGTCTGCTCAGGTGCCCCATCCTGCTGAAATGTAGCAGGGATGCATTTCAGGGTCACCCGCCCCTACTGTGGTGCTGGAAGTTCCCATGAGAGTGTGCCACTGTCTAGGTCAGGAGTTGGGGAAGAGTGGCTTACTGTGCAGACAGAAAAGAGCACACACAGCACGGAGGCCCCTCTTATATTTCCTCTGCCAGTAGTTTTTGCTTGTTTCTTGAAGCAGGGTCTCACTATATAGACCAGCCTGGCCTAGAACTCACAGAGATTCGCCTGCGTCTGCCTCAGTGCTGGGATTAAAGGTGTACACCACCAGACTCCAGCTGAGTGCCAGTGTTTTACAAGCTTGATCTGCTTTAACCAAAGATTCCACTATAGAGGAGACATATTATACTGCTTGCTTAGAAAACAGAAAGGTTAGCTGGAGTGGTGTTGCAGACTTTTTTGTTTTGTTTGTTTGGTTTGGTTTTTGGTTTTTCAAGACAGGGTTTCTCTGTGCAACAGCCCTGGCTGTCCTGGAACTCACTCTGTAGACCAGGCTGGCCTCGAACTCACAGAGAGGTGCAGGCAAGCAGATCTCTGAATTCAAGGTCGGCCTGATCTGCAGAGCAAGTTCCAGGACAGTCGGGGCTGTTACACAGAGAAACCCTGTCTCAG